GGGGGGGGGGGGGGGGGAGGCGAGCCTACAGTCAGTCCGGTTTTGCGAATAGGCGGGCAGAATCTGTGAGAGGGAGGGCGCTTTTTGTTGGTGGGTGCAAAATATTTATCTAGAAAATATCTGGTTGAACTTTGAAGTTGGTAGCCCATAGGCAGTGCAAGGCAGCAAGCTTGAGCTTGACTGCGCCTCCGGCGTACGCTGGAGGTATAGCTGCTGCACGACCTTTTTTATGAGAACGGGCTTTGAAAGTCGGTCTAGGGGGGGTGTCATCTCCCCTCCCCTCCCCCTGTTACGGTTGTTGGCCTGTGACATACGAACGCGTCTTCTCCTGTCCGTTGGACCTGAATGGATGTTATTGCAGAACGTACTGAGCAGAGATCGGAACGCGTTTTCAACTCCAAGACATTAACTACAACGTGAACAAAAAACAACATACTTTGTCCTGCCTAACGAACCACAGGAGGAGAAGATGGAGAAGGACGCAGCGGAGATGAAGGCGAGGATAGAGGAGGAGTACCGAGTCAAGGCGGAGACCGAGGCGCGGGCGAAAATCGAGGCGGAGATGGCGGCCGAAAGAGCTGAGGCCGAGAGCAAAAAGGCAGCCGCCGCCGCCCTTGCCAACGGGGGGACGGCAGCCGGGACCGCGAACGGGGGGGTAGGGGCCGGGTCGNGGGGGGGGGGGGGGGGGGGGGGGGGGGGGGGGGGGGGGGGGGTACCACGGACCTCAACGGGCCCCCTTTCTCGGGCGGGAGGATGCTGGACGTGTCGGAGGCAGAGGAGATGAACGCCGCGATCAAGCAGCTGTACCTCAAGACGCCCGCGGGGTCGACGCCGTTCGTGCTGTTCAAGGCCAGGCTGAGGACCAGCAGGAGGGAGTGGCACATCGAGAGGCGTTACAGTGACTTCGTGTGGCTACATGAGGTATTTATCTTGTTTTTTTGGACCAAAGGCAGCCTTGATAATATGTCTGTAACAGTCGTACAGCCGATCGTTATTTTCTTCTCCCTACCGTACCGTGAATACGAGAGAACACCGGTTTGGAGAGAAATATTCGAGTGATGCCAGGAGCAAGGGCGAACCCGATGCCCCCCACGCCATCACCGGCGCTAGCCCCAGCGCCTGCCTGCGCCAGCCGCAGCCGCAGCGCCAGCGCCGCGGGCGGCGGACCAGTCCCCCATCGTTGGGTGCGTCGGCTCGTGTCGTGAACGCCTGTATGCCATACGTAACACGACGGGGGCGTTGGGAGCTGCTACTGCGCCCTCCCTGGACCTGAAACGGGTCATGTGGCCTGATGGCTCTAAATAGGAGCGGACGCCTCGCCTGCAAGCCCGCGAGGCCAGGCGTCCGTCGTGGAGCCATCAGGGACATGTAGCCCGTTTAAGGTTCAGGGAGGGCGCAGCAGCAGCTCCCAATGACTCCGTCGTGCCCCGTCGTGCCCCGTCGTGCCCCGTCGTGCCTACCGTATATGACACAAGATAACACACCCCCTGGACCGATTTTCAAAGCTCGATATTCAACAGCAGCAACGGTCGGAGGGCCGAAAACGGCGGCGTTGAAGCCGTCTGGTCGAGAGCTCTCTGAAAACGTATCCTTTTGTCTATGCGTCCTCTTCGTTGTGGAGTAATCGAGCTTTGAAAATCGTTCCATAGGGGTGTGTTATCTTGTGTCGTATATGGAATAGCACGGCAGCGCCGACCGCGTCATGCGGGTGACGGCGTGGGTGGGGGGGCGTCGGTTTCGCCCCTTGTTCCTGGCATCTCTCAAGTGTTTGTTCCCTACCCGGTGTCACCTCGTGTTCACGGTACTTTAGGGAGCAGAAAGTCGAAGGGATTGAACATGTTGACAGTGAGTGAGGAAAGGAACGTGCTCAAACCGAAAGAAAGGTTCGGTGACAGGCACCACACCCTCACTCACCGAAGAAAATTTTTGTTAACGCGAAAAATGTAGAGTCGTGCGGAGTAGGGTCTGGAACGGTCACGAGAGGTCGTGATGAGCGCATCGCTCCAAGTCGGAAGCTGAATCAGTGAACATTGTCTGCCAACGTACCGTGGAACCGCTGGCCTCGAGAGCTGGAGGCCTCACCCAAAATCCAACACTTTGATTCAATGATCTTAGCCCAAGCAAGAGCAATACTACAAGAGGAGACTGTTCTGGCTGCTGCTGCTGCTGCTGCTGCTGCTGCTGCTGCATCAGCCTTGATGTCATTCGAAAAGTCCTTCCTCAGTAATTCTGCTGTGCTCGTGTGGTGTGGTGTGATGTGTCGACCATGCCGCGTTGATTTTTTTCCTTACGTTTTTGTCCTTTCCCTTGATTTGTGTCGGTCACGCTCTCGGTCTGGTGCGGAAGGCCCTCGTTGAGGCGCGGCAGACAGATCTTCCTGAGCTTCCCGCGCGACGGCTGTTCGGCGACCCACTGGACAAGAACTTTCTCAAGGGCCGTCAGATGGTAAGGGGATGTATGTCGCAGGCGGGCAGGCGACAGGTAGGTGGACAGATGGACAGGAAGACAATACAGATAAAGTTTTTTTTTTTTTTTCCTTGTGGCAGAACGAATCCATCTCGAATACGCGAATTGTTGAACATTCTATCAGTAGTATTTCTACCACTATTTATGAACCGACTGTCTTTTCATTCGCCATTGACCTTGAACTGCAGGCCCTGGACTTCTACCTGACGGGTTTGTTAGCCAAGTACCAGAAGTGGCTGGTTGAGTCCCCTGCCAAGATGGAAATCAGGCTGGACCAGACGGGCAACATGATGAAGGAGATGGTGGCACGACAGGTAACAGGCGTGACCTTAATGTTTGTCTTCCCCGACCTTCCTCCCAAAAAATTAAATTTGATTATTTTTGCGCCCCGATTGAAGCAACGTATTGAGTTTTTTGCCTCGCAAGAATTTCGTCTTCATTTCTACGGCTTCTTTTGCACATGCTATGCTTTCCCTACTTGTAGAGAACGCTACCCTCATGATTCGTCGTATAGACGCGATGGGGGCACGCTAACTGCAATGTGCAGTGACCCCCCCCCCCTCGCGCATGCCCTTCGGGGTTTGCGGGGGTGTTGTCGCTGTGTGCGTTTTACCATGAATGTGTTTCCTTGCAAGCAATTAGTTGGGATCCCGTCGTTGGGTAGGGTTCCCTTGTTACCGTACACCCTGTTGGCCTCTTTTTTCCGAGTCGCTCTTCGCGCCGACGTCCCGCGTGTTGGATACTCCCTTCACTCCTGTGGATGGTGGAGGTGTTTGATGCTTGGTGCGGTGGTTGTGTTATTTGATCCCACTTTATTGTGGCGGCTGGTGACGGCGGTGTTTCATAGGTTTCTGCGGAGGTGATGGGTGGTGGTTTTGATTCTTAAAGTGCGGTGGGTGATGATGGTGGTGTTTGATACCATCTACTGCTGCGGTGATGGTGGTCATGGCGGCGGTGGCAATCGTGGCAGAGGTGGCCGGGCATGTTGCGTTCAGTTTGCCTCGATGCGCAGGGCGGGGGAGGGGGGGGTGTACTCATAGTCGTGCATGCCGTAGTCGTTAGACCATTGACTTCGCATCCCTACAAAGCCGGGACGGAGCACGCCGGGTTCTCACCGGACCAGGCTCTCACGTCACTAAGTGCGAAGCGCCGTGAGGTATTCGGCGAGTCGCATGAAGGGTGCGCTGCATCCTGCTAAGGGTGTTCGGCATCTTGTGCTTACTTCCTTGCGTACGGATGACAGCTGCGTATGACTTAATTTATTTTCTAGTGCTTTGACTTCCAGAGACAGTTGTTCGCACTGTGTAACTGCCTCGAGGATGCGTGACCATTTGAACACAACGTGGTGCGATCATCCCCCTTGCGCGGAGTGAGGGTTCTCGACCCCGCACAACATGATCTACTCGACCACCATTATGGTTACCGCCAAAAAAAAACAGAGGTAAAACGAAAAAAACGGTAACCTGGTTGTCGAGTTCACGAAGTGAATTGGCTTGTTTTACAACGTGGTTGCCAAGCGACGAAAACCCAATCCCGATGGCAAACACCGGGGGGGAGGTGGGGCAGGTTTGCCCGGCAGGGGCTGCGCACGTGGCGTTGGTGTGCTCATCATCTCCTGGGGCGCCCTTCCTTACTATGCGATGAACCCCGTATCCGCCAGCATCACACTTGCAATAATTCTGGTCATTCCCCCCTGCCTCCCTTGTTTCGCCTCGTTTGCACGTTCGTTCGTTCGTTTTTTTTCTTTTTTTTGCAGACGTTGGTAGCCTTCCTGAATCCCAACCAGGAATCTCTTCATCGGGAGGATGATAGCGTGATGGGGGCGATGTCCGGATTCATGCGAACCTTGCGACGTTGATGGTACATGCCTCAGAATTTTTCTGGCTCTCTTTTGTCAAACCTTAATGGCAAATTGCGCAGCGTTGACTTTTTATCGGTTGCAACGGAGGCGGCAGCAGCAGCAGTAGCATTCACTCGCCGAGAAAAAACAACCTGTGGGGGAGAAATAGGGAGGTCCTTACAAAGCGTTCTGAGGACTTTCATTTACTCCTGTCTCGCAGCGGAAGGAAAAGACGCGAGAGAGAGCGAACAGTTGTGGTGCATCGTACGGTACGGCGTGGGGGAGTTTTTCATGGACGGATAGCTGCGTTTATTTCAGGTCTTGGTAGAAGAAGAAAGTTTTTTCTCGTTGAGTGACGACGAGAATTGCGAGTGGGTGCCTGAGATTTTGGGGAGGATGCAGAGGTCAGCCGCAGAGACGTGGGATCGAGGAGGAAGAAGCAGCAGCAGCAAGAACGAACTGGAGCAATTTGACCAGTTGCTTCCATTAAAACGAAAAGTCTTTCCTGTTTTTTTTTTTGTTTTGATGTCTCTTTGTTGCCTACCATACGTTATTCTTGAGTCCTCAACGATTGAACGCTAGCTAGTTTTGCGCGTCTCCTTTGTGTAATTTTTTTCAGAGAGGGGTTTCTCTATTTTAGCTCACCATCGTGTTTTGTTGCACCCTCCTGTGTAACGTGCGTTCCTTTTTCTTCTGACGCGACACACACTCAGGCGGTGTTGCGATGATAGAAGGGGTAGCCTGATATCCATGAGCGGGTATTACGTTTCGTTTCTGCTTCCTGCCGTCCCCCGCTATCCGCCCCACCCACTCTCGCGTTCCCAGCTACCCTAGTCGGAAGAATGCTTGTTGATTGTGACAACGGCATGGTGGGTGACGCTGCTGCAAGTGTTCCATGGCGTGCACGGATAACCGCACCGTATAAAACCCGTGTCCGTTGTTTCTAGATCTGTAGGCCGACAGTTTTGCCGGGTCCACGCGACGATATATTGGGAGAGAGTGGGGGGGAACCAAGGTCTCTGGTTTTCGTGTAAGCTTTTACTTGGTGATTACGATCTGCCTCTTCTTGGCCGAGCCGCTTGGTGGTGGGCGTTTCACCCTTCGTGTTTCCACTCGTGAAGAAGGCGTTTGCGTCGAAGAAAAAATGAAAAAATCATCATCATCAGCAGCAGCAGCTAGAGCTGGCGCCTCCTCTTTGCCCCTCAGGGGTGTGTCTACTTTCCGCTCTTGTTGGCGTATTCGTCGAAGAAAAAAATCGTCGTGAGCAGCAGCGAAAGCTGGTACCTCCGTGAGCAGGAACTGGCACCCGGGCGTGTGTCTGCTCACAACCGCCACAACCAAAAGGTGCAGCACGGGACACAGGAGAACCGGGGGTGGGGTGTTGCAGCACCCAACGCGCGCGCCACACATCCGTCCCCACACAAATGGATGGCAGACGGCCAAAAGTTAAACGCACTGAGCACGAAAACAAACAAACGTGCCACCACGCGCGGCGGATTTGCCGTGGGTGGTGTGAGAGATATCTACGCGCGCTTGTGTGGCCTCCGTTGGTTGCGGTCAGATGTGGGAGGATTGCTGCTTCGATTCATTGAGCCAGGGGGTATGCACGAGGGGGATTGATGTGTACCCGTCGTCGACGACAAAAAAAAAACTCTCTCGGGCCTCTCGAAAAAAAGTTTGTTCAAGTATGAACTGGGCAAGGAAAAGCGAAACGCAAGTCGGTATCTACTTACAATACGCGGACGGTTAGTTGCTGCACCAACAAAATACCCAGCGCTGAGCCCCCCTCTTCATCATTTTCTGGTTTTTGTGTGTCCTGGATGTCTCCTCTCCTCGTTGTGGGATTGTGGGAGATTCTCATAACCTTGACGACAACGTTTGAAGCTCGTTCGCGACAAGCATCAGGCTGATGAAGGCAACATGTGTTGCCAGCGACTCCCGAAAACTGGGGTGTAACGAAAGACCACGGTTGACCGTCGTCGTGCCCTCGTAATGAACAGATGCCGAGATCCGCGCGGTAGCGCTCTTGCCTACCTTGTACTACCATCTACCGACCCCGGTCGCCCTCTTCTCCAAAATTTCTCCTCTCTACCATCTTCTCTCCTCTCCAAGAAACTCAGAGAGCGAACTCCATGGGTAGGTGGGTCCGCACAGCGAAAGAGGGAACAGATTCGCCTTCATCACATCCTGCATGTTTTTCACGTTCGAATGTAAGAAGCAGTTATTTCCCCTCAACCGGACTCATTGGTGTTGTTGGTCGTGGCGGCGGTGGTGGCGGCTGTGGCGCGGGTAACGCGGACACCCCGAAGACTTCCTCGAACGACTCCAGAAGCAGATGGCCCACACGGTCCATACTCAAGTCCTCGCCCTCCGCACACAGAAACTCGACTGTTTTTTACGCACAGATGAGGACATAGAAGTAGAGAGTCAGGACTAGAGAGTGCCAAGGTGACCACCGACGGTTTCTTGTCAACAAAGCTAAAAAACTCGTGTGGAGACTGGGGGGGGGGGGGG